TGACAATTTGTTTAGAGACCGGTTAGGCACCTTTCAAATATTCTTCAATATTTTTGCGCCTGCAAGGTTTGCTCTCTGTCAGGGCAGCATCCAGTGATGGCAGAACAAGCAAGAACGAGGCAGGAAATCACTGGCAGGTGATAGCAGTTAAGGCCAGGTGGGAGGAAAGGGTTCAAAGCCAAGCAAAGCCCTGGGAAAGATTTGGGGGGGCCTAAAAAGGTAAAGCTGGGTTTTTGTGTCTAGCTCTCTTTTCTCAGCACAATCTAAAAACAAGGGACTGATATGCAAGTGGGACTTGTCTTAATCAGAGGGAGATTTTACAGGGTGAAGAAAACATGAGGAGTTGAGTAAGTATATTTTTTGAACCCTTGTTTCTATCCTCAATGCAGTTCTGTTTTCTCATGTGTGGATTTCATGATTTATTTATTTTTAATTCATTGCTATTGTAAACTGGTTTGCATTAAGGGTGGCATTACCTGAAAGCAGAATCCAGGGCTGTTCTTGTACAGCATCCTCCATGTGTTAGGCGAGCGTGTCCAGAGTTAACAGACCCTGTCTCTGCTACGTTCTGGTTTAGTTGCAGGTAATGCAGGGCTCTGTGTGGAAGAAGCATTTTCTGATAAGCATTAGCCAAGAAAGCTTTTTAGCATGTAGTACAGGGCTGCCTGAGCTCTATGTCCCTGGGGACATCTGTAATAATGATTTGTTCTGTGGTGGTCCTGATGTATGAAATGAAACGTAATTGACAAAATTGCAAGCCTGGCATAGTCTGCTCCACGCATCCTCAAATCCTGAGGCAAACTCCCCAAAATCATGTAGTTAGTGTAATTCACAAGATTTAATTCTTTCTGGTTTTATTTGTCTTGGGTTTTAGTAGCTTCTATGGGACTGAGTTTTCCAACTCTTCCTCGCAACTGCGTAAGCAACAAGTGTAAAGGTGTTTTAACTGCTAATAAAAGCTGAGGGCCTTGCCCAGTGACACAGCGGTGATAGTGATAACTAATGAAAATAGATAAAAGTATCCTGAGGTATTTCACTAAAAATCTGAGAATGGGCAATACTGCAACACCTACCTGTGTATGGCAAGCAGAAAAGTTATACGGTTGGACGACAGCTTATGCATCCTCCTGCATGGGCCTCCCCTCTTTATCTTGTGTGACATTTTTTTTTTTTTTAAATATATATATTTTAAGGAGAAGACAGGAAATGGTT